ACCATCTTCAAATTGTTCTGAGCAGGGGTATGAACAGGCTGAATGATACGTGTGGTTGAGGGGTTTGACTTGGTGTTAATGTCTCTGTCAGTTTGGGCTTTTCGTTTCTGTATATCCAGTATTTCTTGGCTTCTTCCAGATCTCTTTCGATTTGAGTTCCAATCCTTACCAACTCACCAAATTTCTTGACAGTTCCCCTCAAGAGACTGGTGAGGCGTGGGTTTCAGTTTCATAAAATGGGCTGGACAATGTCCTTCTCTGTCATCTCTTTCTTCCACCATAGACATAGGACTCGGTAATGGTAGGTGAAATCGCAAATAGACTCTTTAGGGCCTTGCTTCCTCTCCAAAAATTGTTTAGCAGCTTCTGCCTCAGTCGTCATTCAAAAAAACTTGAAGGAAAGTTTTCTTGAATTGGCTCCAGGTGAAGATAAATCGGCATTCTGCCAGCCACCATATATGAATGATAATAATTCATATCTTTTAGTTTTAAAACTAATTTAAAATGAGAAAATAGTTCAAGCCAGGCCTGCATTGGCTAATCGGGAGCACCGGGAGAATTCCCGGTGGGCCAGTCTTGTCATACCACTGGGGTTTAAATATGGATGCCCGTATTTAAGGCATCAAAGCGTCCGGTATGAAAGCTAACGCAATTTGTCCCGTATTCGCAGGCACGCCATATGATCACCAGACTATATGAATAACAAATTCTCAATTGATAATTAATCATTCTTTGTGCGCAAATTGTTTTATTTGTGAACGTAGCCACTCAAGGAAGGCTTTAAGACCAAGCGGAATCCTCTGCTGGCTGCTCCCGCTTCACAGCAAACGGGACTCGCGCTAACGCCAATTCCTTCACTGTCTGCATTTTGATTTTGGCAAATCAGTTTGGGCGAATGCAACTTATTGATCATGAGCCCAACATCCAGCAAGGCAGGAAAACATTCAATCTACCTGAGGAAAGACGTCTTTCACTATTGTAAGTTAATGCTGTTAAATAGAGAGAGAGAAATACATTTTTAAAAATGTAGCTTCTAGTGCATTCTTAAACTTGGACCTCAGTATATTATTATTGAAGTACAAATCCAAGCACCAGAAGTAGGCTGCACTCTCTAAGTTTTCTTTAATTGAAAAATATGCAGTTTCATTCATTCATAGGCTAGCCTATATGGTTGCAATAATATTTTAGTTCAAAAATGTAAGTGTCATTGTTTAAAAAAAATGCTTTATTGACTGACGTTTCATAGACCTTCAAGTCAAGTCAAGTCAAGTCAAGTTTATTTGTACAGCGCTTTTCATGATACAAATCATTGAAAAGCAACTTTACAGCAAATTAATTATTTTGTCCCTCATTTTCTTATTAAGAATCACAATTGTCCCTTATTTTTCATTTGCAGCACCTTGCTAAGAAAAAAAACAACAACCTCAGTTGTTGGAGATATGCGAGCAAATATATATATATATATATATATATATATATAAACAAAAGCTCTAGAAAAATACAATGAATTACAAGGCTGTAGAGAACAGTGCACTATTTCAGACTTATATACTGAGGTTTTAATTATTTTAATAGCTCAGTCGTAAACTAAAGTGGGCCGGTTTCAGACATGAAACTCCAGGGCTGAAAATGAGTCCCACTCCGGCCCTGGTTCCAGCTATTATTGCAAATCAAAAACCTAGTAATAGTATTGTATTATCAAAAATAATAAAATTTTACTATTTATAAAGTAAATATTAAATGAATATATTAATTTAAAAAGTTTGATCAGTAAGATGTTTTAATGTTTTTGAAAGAAGTCCATATGCTCAGTCTGAATTTATTTGATAAAAATACAATACAACAGTTTGTAAAAATATTGTAAAGTTAATTTTTTTTGTGGAAACATGACTTTTTCAGGACACTTCATGACACAAATTTTTTTTGAAACAAATGTTTTGTAACGTTAATAAAGAGTGTCATATTATATAATGTCACTTTTGATCAATTTAATGCACACTTGCTGAATAAAAGTATTAAGTATTTCTTAATATAAATACATAAAATAAATACATTAATAAAAAGCTTACTGACCTCAAACAGATTGTAACATGTAAAAAAATGTATAGATATATATTTAAGTACATACACACACACATATATATATATACAGTATATGTATATATGTATATATATTACTGTATATAAAATTATGTAGCTAGATAAAGATAAAATGTTGGCAGGGCAATTAGAAATCTGAACTGCTGCCCTGATCAGTCCTTTAAACATATCTTTGAAATGTTAATCATTACCTTGTTTAATAACGGTCTGAGAATAGACTTAGTATCTTTTAGTTTAATATCACGGTTAATGTAGTGCATGCATGTATTTCAGACAAGCCTTGCACAGTTATGCTCTCAAGGGTGCAGTTGTACATCCTTATTGAGATTTATAAAGGCAACAGTCCAAGTTTTGTTAAGCAATAAGCTGTCAAGTGTAAAAAATACCCAGAACCGTTTTCCAGGGAAGTTACTCATTAATCATTATTTAGGGAATTGGGGAATATTAAACATATAAAAGGCCAGGAATAGTGGTTAAATGAATTGAGATTCACACCTGATTTCTCCTAGCTCATGTTCTTCCCTCTATCCTGACTAATGCAGAAGTGTGGTGAGGTGGCCAGCATTGAAGGGATTCCATGAGAAACAGGCTAAGCAGGAGTGCTGATTGTTGCTTGTGTGTTTTGTGTGTAATTACTTCTACTGTCTGGGGGCCAGTGCTGGGGAGGGTCTGGGTTTGCGTGAGTAATTGAAACAGACTCGTTGACCTCTTGACTTTGGTTGAAAAGTTACGAAAATAAAATATTTGATAGTTACTGACTCCAGCAGCAGACTTTGACCTGAGGTGCTGTGTGTGTAGCATCAAAGACCCTGCCAAGGTTTGATGTGAACCAGTGTGTGGGGATCTTTAGGGCCAGACATTGACAGACGTTGCATGAGAAGCATGCAGGAACATCATTTGAGATATGATCTTAAAGGGTCATATGATGTTGCTAAAAAGAACATTATTTTGTGTATTTGGTGTAATGAAATGTGTTTATGCGGTTTAAGGTTAAAAAAACACATTATTTTCCACATACTGTACATTATTGTTTCTCCTCTATGCCCCGACTTTCTGAAACGCGTCGATTTTTACAAAGCTCATCGGTCTGAAAAGCAAGGTGTGCTCTGATTGGCCAGCTATCCAGTGCGTTGTGATTGGCCAAATACCTCAAGCGTGTGACAGAAAT